GTTGTCTTAGGCCGGCCTACCGCCCAATTCGAGCGCGTGGCAAGATGTGACCGCCCGGCGATCGATATTGCTATGCGCACATCTCGCCACGCGCTCGAATTGGGTGGTAGGCCGGCCTAAGACAACGATTTTTAATAATTAATTACTCGTTAACTATTACGAAAATTGCAAAATGGTACAGGACTTTGCCGTTCATCTCAATCCGTTCTACCTTCTCAAAAATTTTGTCGGAATTGGAAAGACTCACCCTGTATACAGGGTGAGGTAAAAGTATGAAAACCCCTAAATTTTTCGAAAACTATGCATTTTAGAAACAAATGTTTCGGACAAAACTTATATGGTTTCAAGGGGGACATAAGATGGTGTCATTAACTTGATCTTGAATAGTCGTTTAAAAATTACATGAAGGTAATCTTGCATTTTTCGTTATATCAACTTCTTCTATTAATTAATTGGAACGACTTTTGTCTGAAACATTTTTTATTTGTCTAATATATTTTTTAGATATTCGAAGAAAACATGGCAACTTTTTTAATATTCATCATATGATATCTCGATAACTGTTTATCGTGAGGAAAAATGATACAGGACTTTTTTACTTGATTTGGTGCCAAGAATATGCTGTTGCAATAGTACTTCAATTTTTATAAACATTTGTGTACACATCTCCTTGGAGTTTTCATGTATACACAAATGTATAGCACTTTGAAGAACTTTATGAGAGTTTTTTGATACCATATGTTCTACTAATAAAATGTATACTAATTGTAAGTAGAATTACTAGTAAAACGTATGGTAAAATTAAAAAAAACTCATAATGATTACATGATTTTCAGGATAAATTTCAAGAAAAAATTATCTCCGTGTATAGCACTGAAATTTATTTTTATCTAACGTGACTGATCAATATTTAGTCACGAAACCTAAACTTTCCAGAAGGTATTACTAGAACGTTGCTGCTATAAATTTTGCAGGCTACAAACAATTTTCTAACAGATACACAAAATAGCGATAATTCTTCCCGAATTATTTCTCGGGTCCGTCACTCGGACTGTCAAAATGAACGTAGATTCAAATCGATGTCGAAATATTTCCAAATCAGTTCGCCGACGAAAACGAAAGCGGATATGAAATATCCCGCTGTGAGCACGTAAACCGTCGGGTAGAACACGCTGACGTACTTAAAATCCCCGTGATCCCGATTTATCTGGAACGTCGTCTCCCTCGTCTCGTTTCTCAGGTACTCGCGATACCACTTGTCGCGAATGCCTCCCGACACGAGCTTCAGAAGTAAGTCGCTGACACGCCCGACGTAAGGCGAGCCTTCCGCAAAAACGTTGCCGATCGGTGGCGACAGATAGCAGAGCTTGGTCGTCTTTATCACGGTCCTGCCGTTCCGCATGTTGTTGACCGCTATTAGTCTGGCCCAATCCTCGTGCACGAAGCAGGACACGTTCTGGTGTTTCAACAGATCCTTAAGACAGATATCCGTAGCGGAAATCCTCACGACCCTCTTGCCCGATTTGCGTATGTGATATTCGAAGTCGTTGTTGTACCGCTTGATGATGTCCCGCATATTTTCATGTATCATCAACACCAAGTCAGACTTGATCAGGTCCTCCAGGTGATCAAACCGAGCGTAGCGGTCGCTCTCCA